TCCCTGCTCCTCCGGCCTAGCTCAGGAGCCTGCTCCCCGGGAAAGGCGTGGCCTCGGACGCTCTGGCCCCTCCCCCTTCCTCCCCCGCCTCCCAGCCAGGAGAGCTGGGTCTCTGGACCTGCCCTAGGAGGGAGGGGGCAGAAAGGAGGAGGGGCTAGCCGCGGCAGAAGTCCAGGACCCATTCCTCGTGGGCACCTCCGCTGAGTGGGGGCCAGGCTGGGGCAGTGCCTCTCGTACACCCGCGCCTCGCCCAGGCTGCCCACCCCGTTCACGCACCTCGGCGGCCTTTATTTATTTTACCCCCTGGCTCAGCACTTCCCGGGGAAGGGCTGGCGCTGGGCCTGTGTCGAATAAACGGACCAGATGGAGCTGGGCTCTGAGTGGCCTCGGACCTGCCTCCTTTCTGCCTCCCTGACCTCGGGTGGGCGGGCGACACGGTCTTGCGGGCCTCTAAACACGCATCAGTGCCTCATCCCCTCAGCCGCTCTGCCGCTAGCGCTGTTGTCCCCGCTCACCGGGGGACGCTGAGGCTCGGGGAAGCCTTTTGCTCAAGATCACGCTGTGTTCAGAGACTGGGATTAGAACACGGATCTCTCGGGTCCGAAGGACGACTTCCCCTGCCTCCCAGGCCTTCTGCTTTGGGAGGCCTTTACATCTGCCTTCATCTCGGTCCTTCCGGGCTTCCGGTCATGAACTAAACCTTTATTTGGGGACGGGCAGGACGGACCCTGGGCCAGGAGGACCTGAGACCCCTAAGCAGAAGAGTGTTAAGGGTCACTGCAGCTGCACCCTTCTGGTGGCGCTGAGGGAGGAGCCTAGGGGAGAATGCCACCTAGTACCCTGTGTCTGCAGAGTGGTAGACAGGGCGACCATGTGCCCTGCCTCACCTGCATGCTGGTCGGCTCCTGTGGGCCCAGTGTAGTTACTAATAGCGGCCCTGTTCACCCCCAAAGTGCCCTGTTGAACAGTGGGCTCCATGCACGGAAACCTACGTGGATTGTCAGGCGGGATTGGGAGCATGGAGGGAGAGACGGGCTGTCACCGGGGGCCTGCATGGGTCCCTTAGAGCTGTCAGGCCCCACCTCCCCTTTTTTTTAATCCTCACCGAGGGTATTTTTTCCACTGCTTTTCAGAGAGAGTGGAAAGGGGGAGAGAGAAACATCAACATGAGACACATCGATTGGTTGCCTCCCGCACGAGCTCCAACCTGGGCCGGGAACCGAGCCTGCAGCCTAGGTATGTGCCCTTGGCCGGAATCAAACCCGGGGCCCTTCAGTCTGAGGTCCGAGGCTCTAGCCACTGAGCCAGACTGGCCAGGGCCAGACCCCACCACCTTTGAAGGGGCAGCCAGCATGGAGGCCAAGGGCACAGACAAACTGGCAGCCTGGGTTCCACAGCCTCGCTGACCCTGGACTACTCACTAACTTCCCCGTGCCTCAGTTTCCCTATCTTGAGTATGGCTAATAACTACCTACCTCATTGGATTGTTAGGATTAGATGAGTTACCATTTGTAAAGGGTTTAGCACAGGGCCGGGCACAGAGTCAGTGCTCTGTTTGTTGTAGCCACTGCTGTAGTGGCTGGGGG